TTTCAGTATATTACATGCATCAAACTCACTTTGCAAATATTGATTTTGTTGAAAATCATCCATTTTGTGTTAGTTATGAATCTTCCTTGACAGAAAAATACTTCCTCAACTTCTACGGCCACCACATATCTTGCTAACTTAGAAGATAATTTGTTACTATCATAATGACTGTTTAAGGCAGACTAAGAGAAATCTACTGTGTGCTGCCATTGAGTTATCAGCAGGTTTCTTAATTACAAAAGGAAGAAAAGTTTGCACAACTACTCCTTGTGATTATCAATATTCTTCATTGCAGAAGAAAATATACAGAAGAGATGATCAATAAAAAGAAAAACACTTTAAACATTTGAAAGTTGAAAAAGAAAAAGTACTAGGATGAATTAACATACTCCTCCACTGCGTGTCTGAAGGGCACGCACACAGTTGCTGCAATCACATGGTAGCCAAAATAAGTCACTGCCAGTGTCAAGTGCCACTAGAAATGATAGCCCAGGACTGCCCACAGTGACATTTGCATAATGCAAGCTGTAAATTGCCAAAGCAAAAACTAGTTACATCACAACTATATATCTATATTACAGACTTCACAACTCTACAGTTAAAACACATATTAATTACAGACATGCTACTGCCAAAAACATCACAACAACCCCTTGTCTTGAGAGAACTAAAAGACAGCAGAGGAGAGGAAAATCCAAATAAGAACAGAATTCAGAGCTTTAGACAGGAACCAGAATCAAAGTAAATTCAACATTTAGAGTCAGTGTTCTTATACAGTTAAAAATTGACAAAATAGAGTTATATGTCCTATTTGGTTCGACAATCACACCAAAAAGGTCTAAATCTTTCTTCTTCAAACTATAAAAGAGGCATGGACCTTCCCCCCTACTAATTCAATGATTCATGTTGCCTCCTATCAACACAGACATAGAAACTTTTTTTGTCTAGGTAACCTATTTTTCCTGATATAGGAACACAGACAAAAACAAATAAAACCAGAGTCAACCTGTGACATCCAGCGTAGCAGATAAAAGCAAAAGACAGTAAACACAATAACAAACAGAGGGAGCTTACAATCCCAAAGAACTGAGCCGCAAAGTTTCATTTCCTCCAGAAAAAGCAAGGGGCACTGTGGGATTAGTTGTATCAGCAAGGCGACGGCCCTTAACAAACCGATCACGTTGAGTCCAAGCTGAATAATATTCAACAGTCCCCTTCTCAGGCAACCCATGAAGGTCCAAAATACCCTTTACCGGATCCGAATACCGGTGATGGATATCAAACCCGAATGTCCCAAACCCATCAGTTGTCTTCAACTGGTATCCAAGAATCGCCAAGAAAATAATTGGGGCAAGGAAAAAATTACGAATTTTACCAGAATTAGGCATGTTTGTATAAGGAAAAACAAAAAAGACTGATTCTTTGTATGTTGATATATAGATATACAGGGAGAAAGAAAGAGAAAAGGTGAGGAGATAAAAGGGGATTTTGAGAAAGGAAAAAAAAATGGGTTGACAAGTCTGAAGCTGAAGAAGCTAAGCATTGCTTCCATTTGTAGTTTTTTAGAAGAGGGTAAAATGGTGGAAGAAAGTCGTCGACTACTGTGTGAAAGACGAAAGCATCGGAGTTTGGTCACCTATGACTTGTTTGGCTGGCGGGTTATGGGCTCCACTTTTTCTGTTTTATACTGGGCTTGAGGGCTCCATGCTCTTTTTACCGCGGCCTTTTTTTTTTATATATATATTTATATTAAAGTTTAATTAAATTTAAAAATAATTTTTTTATATATTATCTATATTAAAATTTAGTTAAATTTGAAAATAATAACAAAGCTAAGGCAATGAAAGATTAAAATTCGAAATTTCTGATTGAAAATAAGAAATTATTTAGTACTCTGTTTATAGTTGGTTCGTAATCTTTTTACTGCAGTTATTTGTTGCTGGTAACTGGCAAGTGCAGAGAATTTCATCTTTTGAAACACATAAGAAATTGCATAGGGTTCTTTTGTAATAATGTTTTTCGCACTCTACATTCCCTTTTGGGAAACTGCAATTGACTTTTCCAAAGTAATTTCTCATGATGTTGTTTTTCACAGCAAAAGAAAATTATTGAAGGCCCCTTTTTTTAATTAAAAAAAAAACAAATTAAAAATGAAGGACGCAAAGAGAAGTGGGATGGATTTAAAAAAGATAAAATTGTATTGCTATTTACATCAAATCAATATATTCATAATATAAATTATATTAACTTGATATAATAAATAAGTTTTTTTCATTAAAAGATATTTTAGCTGAGCAAAAATTTAAAAATAAAACATTAAATTAGACATTAAAATTTTTATAAAATTCCGAGTTATATTTCAATTACTATGATTTTAGACAATTCAGACACACAAATCCCAAACCAATTATTTATATGCAAGTACCTTTATCCGTAATAAAAACAGCAATAATGTAGTTGTAGACGTGGCGAAAATTCAAGGGCAAAGCTATTGTGAATTGATTAATAAATCTAGAAAGTGGTTTTGGGGAAGATAAAATGAGTTATCCTACTATTATATCTTAATAATTTCTATAACAAAACGTAGTTTATCTAAATATATTTAAGTACTAATTAATCTCGAACTATTTATCATCCTAAAATATGTAACTTTATTTTAACTTTATATGATGAGAATATATATCATAAAATGCTAATAAAAATTATTATATTTTGACCCTAAATAAAAAAATTACTACAATTAAAAGTGAACAGATATTATAAATAAAAATAAATAATTAAATATAATATTATCTTATAAAAAATATAAATATGATAAGTATTCTGAGACGATCTATTTATTTTTAAACTACGAGTTGTTAAATATGAGGTGCGTTTGTTTGGTACAAACCGTTTACATTGGTCCATATCATATTCTTAAGTCTCAATAATCAAAAGGGGAAAATAAATATGCCCTCAAATCTTTCTCCTGAGATTGTCCATTATTTATTTATTTTAGTCTTTTCAAGACTTCGTTTAATAAATATTTCAAGTTGGTGTTTATTTAAGTTTCTTACAACTCCCTTTTTTTTCCAGCAAAGTTTTTTATTGTTTTTAAATTATTTTAATTAAAAGAATACAAATTTCCTTTTACGATAATATTTTAATAATTAAACTTCTTTCGGAAAGTCTTTTTTACAAAATAATAATAATAATAATCTTCTTTTCCTCAAGTTTTTTGTTGGTTTTAATTACTGATGCTTCAGACCTATTTTAAAATTTTAATGCATGCATCACACCTGCTTGATTTTTGTTTCTTTTTTTAACCAAAATTTAAGAGTTGTGACAAAAATACTTTCTTAAAGAACCTATTTCGTAAAATTGATTCATAGAAAAATATATTATATTAAAGTTAGACTCGAAAATTCAAATACTCCTACGCACTTTCTTCACATTTATTTGTTCATAATTCTTCACATGCCCCTTATAAAAAAGGGGAAAAAACAAAACAATAATTTTATTGTATTAATTACCTTTAATTATTATAAATCATTTAAATATTAAAAATAATAATAATATACTTGATACTAAAAATAAATAAATATAAAATAGATCGTATACTTTATTTTTAGCTAACCAAAAAAGTATTTTTTAAAGCTATGTTTCTTTTCTCATTAGACCGGCACATTAATTTTATAGGGTAGTTATACAAAAATAGCGATGGGTCTAGAGGAAGCCTAATACATTGGAATAAATAGGAAGCTTCCACCAACATAAGTAATGGTCAATCGGTAAGACCAATTCATTCTTAATTAAAGGTTTTAAATACGAAATATAAAAGAAAAATTTTTTTATTAAAAATACTATTTTTGTATAAATTTGACGGTATGAGATTCAAATATAATCAGACTCTTATATAAATTCTAAACATCGAACAGAAAATAAAAAAAAATGGAAGTTTCCGATATTATTGTATGGCTGAAATTGTTTCCAACTATTTTTAATGCTTTGACTAGACTTTGATTAATGGACTTTCAAGTTACATCCATTTACTAAAAACTGCCCAAGAAAAATGATATGTAAAGATATTTTTAAAAGTATAAAGTCTGAAATTTTAACATTTTTAATGAAATTGAAATATATTCTCTGTGTAAAATATTCAAAGTCAATGGTCACAAGAAGACGTGTTTTTTAATTAGTACTGTGCCATTCATTTTTCTCACGAATGAATTGGTCATAGGTGTAGCCCTTTACTCGTTCAGTTTTATTTATTTGTTATTTTAAAAATAATTTTTTTTTAATTTTATTTATTAATTCTAACATATAATAAATTTTTTTTCTCATGCATTATTCTTAGGATTAGTTATTTATAATCATTTTACAAAAATCTAATATCAAATATTAATTAATAAAAATAATGTAATACAATGCTTATATCAATTAAGTATTACTATTATCTTTTAATTGAGCATATAAATCCAAATAATAAATAAAAATAAACAAAAAGAGAGAGTAATTTTTATTTTTTTTTGGTAAAGCCGCCAATCATGGTACATTGAATAAAGTAGCTTTAGAAAGCAACAATATACCAATAGAGTAGAGAAAGTAAACAACAACAACAACAATAATATTATTATTATTCTATCAATATTTTCCTACTTCCAGAATGGCACGTAACAGACATGGCTTTTTGGTTTAAATGAATGAATTCAAACACATTACATAAGGATTTGAATTTATAGAGTATAAAGTTACTAGTTTTTTATTAATTTAATAATACATATTAAAAAACTATATGAAAAATACTACAACTTACATTTTTTTCCATATCAATATAATGAAAACTACATCTTAGAATGTTAATCGAAATTAATATCACTTGACTCTAGAAAAAATAATGACAATTAAAACGAAACGGAGGTAGTATTAACAGAAAATGCAACATCCTATTATTCTCAAATGTTATGCTACGTCACAAAATAGTGATTTTGTTTGGAGGGTCCATCAAAAACAACCTACAGAAATTAGATACATTTAGACTTTTTCAAGACCCTACTTGTACAATTACATGAGATCGAAATCTATTTTAAAGTAGACAACCTAACCACAAAATATTCCAAATAATTGACCAAATGTGAAAAAAGAACCTTGCTGGCAGCATGAAAAACGACAACAACCAAAAAAGAAAAAAAAAAGGGGTTGCAAGTACAAAAAAATCGGGTGGAGAGTCGTATCGATTCTGATTTCATTCTTTGGTACCTTTTTTTTTCCTTTCTTAATTTTAAAACGCAATCTTTGCCTACTTTATTTATCACTTCCCCCAAATTCATCACACTTCCAAAAATCCACTACTATATTATATATAAAAATAAAATAAAAGAGAGTCCATAATGTTAATCATCGCCAAAGCTAAGGTTGATTCGAGATTTGAAGTTAGTAGAGACGTAAATGCAGTTATTGATTCAAGCCTAAGGTAGTAGATATGTTTTAGCTGTGGCTGTGGAACGAGGTGGCACTGTACAATCTCACTGTTCTATTGCAATCATAAGGTACATAAACTATCATAGTGTAATGTATTAACATTTCTATACATTATATGGTTAGCCTCAAAATCAGATATGAGCAGGCAAACCAAAAATTTCTGTCCATATTGGAGCTCTGCAAGTATGATTATCTGCACTATATATGTGTTAAAAAGTCCTAAGAAGCATACCTGAATCCTCAGTGTGAGAATGAGCTTATGGTAGCAATTATAAAAGTAGCAATATCACAGATGCTAGGAAGCAGTTTATGAGGTTCAAATAACATGTTTGATAAACAGATGATGCAAAAGAACTTTGACGAGTAGTTGTCGTCCTTTCATGTGATTTCTCTGCATTATCATTTCCAGGCACAACAGCAAAGGCAGGTGGAACATGGGTGGTATTAACAGGTTGTGATGGGAAATGGTCTATTTTCTCAATATCATAACCTGCATGAAGGCCACAAGACCAAAAGTATGAAAAGAATAATCTTCTTGTAATATCTAAGTTATTGGAAGAAAGAACACCAAAAACAATACTCACAATCAAATTTCTTCCAACCGAGGATGATTTTTTCTCGATCAAACACAAAGCGGTATCCAGTCATGAAGTTCTCTGGAAAAAGATCAGTAAGAGCAACAACAGTCAGATATCACAATTTGGAAATGACTAGTACAATTTTTTAGCTGCCAGCTAAAAGTAAGGTGATATACAACCAAAACTTTTAGAGAGCTGAGATTAGCTCTGGCAGTTTCATAGCTAGAGAGTTTATTACATTGCCAGGAACCTGAAGCATCAATTATACAAGGTGTGGGACTGCTTATGCTACGAAAAGGTGATCATTCTATTCTATTTTGACTAACATAAAGGGAAAACCACTTATTTTAAGGTAATTAAAGCCAAAATTGTTGTTGTCTCTAATAAAACTATATTTTGCTGGTTATCTTTCTGAAGTGAAGTGTCCTGAAAAATCAAATCATGGAAACTCCTTCCAGTTGAACAAAAGCTACCAAAATTGCTGAATGAACTATATAACAAATTATAATATTAGTGTCCCATTGGTTGCGGATATGGTTCCTGTCTCCTTATATGGGGTCTTAAGCATTCCTAACCTCACAAGTTATCTTTTCAAGTTCACTTGAACCTAATGACCATTTTTAACATGGTACAAAGCCAGGTCAATCTATATTTTTGGTTTGTCCAATATTACGCCACTATGTATATTGTTCACGCTCCAACGTTCAGTACTTGACTGGGAGGGTGGAAGTAGAGTGTGTATGTGAGATTCCCAAATTTGTTGAGAGTATATGTTGTCTCCTTATATGGTCTTGTTGTCTCCTTATATGGTCTTGTTGTCTCCTTATATGGTCTTGGCAATCCTCACCTCCTGCTAACTTTTGGAGTTAAATTAGAACTAAGGTCTTAGCTTTAATCAAATGCCTAATGGTATGATCAAAGACGATGATTGTAAGCCATGTCCTCAATCACGATCTCCAATATTTTGGCAAAATTGCCCAAGTCAAATTCCTTCAAGTCATTTTATGAAACCACTAAAACTAATTCTTTAATGCAAAAGGTGCAACTTTTCCATGCAAGTATGTTGTTCCCTCAGTGTTTATAATGCACTTCTCTGTTTGTTTCATGTTGCAGTAGAAACAAACTTCCTTACCATGTGCTTGAAAATTCAGTTCAATTCAATGAAAAATAGAAAATACAAAAACACTGTTGCACTTAGAAAGCCTTACGTCCAATTATATTTAGAGCATCACTCTTCACAATGGCCAGGCAATACATTAGTTGATTCTGCATAGGAAACAGTATTTAGTACATATACAGGAAAGGCGATAAACTGAAATTAAGAAGAAAATATTGTGCAAGATAGTTGAACGATTGTACCTGTGTGGATATGACAATAATTGGATCATTGACAGCAAGTTGGCCTCCCCCACTCATAGTTAGGCTTAAACTAGGAATCAAGCTAGTATTTTCATCAGGACTGTCCGATATGAATCATAAAATGATAAAAGGGAAAAATAAGTAAATAAATAAATAAATAATATGTGTGGTTGTGTATTAGCAGATATTACCTCATATCATAACAATATTCAAAGGGGATCCTCGGATCAGGTGGACGCCGCTTGTCTCGTACTTGAGAATGGAACTATTTGGGAAGAAAACATTTGAATCTTAAACATGATCTAACAATGTATACAAATAAGTACACCATTTGAAAAGGATTCATACACTTTCTGAAAGCTTTGTATAGGATAGGTCCGCAAGATAGGTAAAGGAGGTTCCAGTATCAAAAAGTGCTGTAAAACCTGAATCAACGAGAGTTGTTCCAACACGTATTTGATCTACAGAAATGTTGTATGTTGGACTGCAAAAAGTTTTCCACGAGAGCGTGACTAAGTGGATCTAAAAGAGTCGGAAAGAGTGGACACAAAAAATTTAATTGACATGATTGCCACTTACTGTAATGGGTTTATATTAAAAGGGGTCTCTTCCTGGTCAAAGCTACCCTTGTCGCCAAAACTAATCCGACCTGCCCCATCACTACCAAAGCACATAGAGAAAGAATCTGCCATAAAACCTTCCTGAGACAGAATACTAGGGACTGATACCTTCTCGAGACCAAGCCCAAATAAACCATTTGGGGCTGCAACATCTAGAAAAGAACCAGTCTGCTCCTGTCCACAACTGCACACTTGAAATTGGCATGTATCAGAGATGAATTTGAGAACTTGGACAGAAGCACAAGAACTCCTCAGTTAACCAAATTTACTTTCCATATAACACATCTAGCAGTTAAAAATACACTGCCTGAGATCAACGAACGTCCAAACTTGATTCAATTAGGAAAAAGAAGTTCAGGATACTTACCCAAAGATCACACGCGCCTGGACAAAATTTTTTTCCTCACTATCATCTGTTCTCAAGTGCAAAATATCATCCACCAAAATTCCTGAAGTTGAAGTTTCCGAGGAGACATAGGATACTGAATAAGGGCAGTGGTTATTTGAACTGAGACAATTATTGCGGTCTGTACACAAGCTATCACTGCAGGTGACCTTCTTGCTAGTTGACGATCCATTCAGGCTGTATATGCTAAGCTCAATATCCTGAAGCAAAAGACATTATCCACTTCAGCCGGAGTGAAAAGGAAAAAATATAAGAGAACCACAAAATAAAGTGCATCTCATTTCTACAACAGTCCGTCTAACCACCTTATAAATTATCTTGCAAATCAAAGTTAACAGTATATTTAACCTTGCCATCTTAAAATTTGAGGAAGATAATTCTATCAAACCATGGCTTAGAGAAGGAAATGACAAAATGAATGTACAAAGTTTGGAGTAAGGATGTGATGGAATCGAACAATTAATAGTAAAATGGTAATCCGAACTGGAAAACTAGGCAATAAAAGTCTGTCACTTCACAAATCAATTGTTCATCAGTTCCCATAAAGTTCCATTGGGTAGAACTACTTAGTTGTCTGTTCACAGTTGACAACAATGTACAAGTGAATTAGATACAGAATTCTACGATCGTGCATACTCTCGTGAAAGTTTGGTTATAAAATTCTCCTTGACCGCTTCACAAAATAATGGCATCCAAAAGAGTAGGACCCGTAAATATTATCTCTTTGGCAAGTGATCATTGTCTAGTTTACTGTACCAATGTCTTATCAGAGCATCTAATTCCACTCATGAGAGTCATGGTATACCACATTCCTAAAGGCAAAGATGTTTGTGGATACTATTGCAGGCTTGCAATGAATGACAGTTGTTTTCACTTCTCACACGAAAAAAGTCATCATTTACTACGTCAGAGGGAAGCTCTCGAATAAGCTCCTCATATTTCCATCATATACATCTTGTGCAAAATAGCATAGAATATATGGATGCAACAAAATGTTGTAGCTGTCAAAGGCACTTTTCATCAACCCTTTAAGTTATACACCACAACGTTTCGCTCAATATATCATTTCATAAAGATATAAGATAACCCTAAAAAGGGGGGAAAGTGAGTAAAACATACAGAGCTGTAAAGTGTAGGATCATCAGTAGAAGCACATCTGCCGCATTCACAAGGCACCCAAAATAAGTCACTCCCAGTATCAAGAGCCACAAGAAACTTCAACCCAGGTGTCCCCAAAGTCACCGTGGTGTAATGCAAGCTGCAAAATTCATCCCCCAAAACAAATTCAAACTATAATGTCAAGAATCCAAGGGACAACACCAAGAACTTCAAGATTAAACACAAAAATACTCCCAATAAGTGGAATTTAAAAGATGGGTTTGGTTTGGTCTTACAATCCAAGAGAGCTGATCCGGAAAGTGGAATTGCCATCAGAGAAAGTAAGTGGTCCATCGAATTTAAAAAGCCTCCTGCCATGTAGCAACCTGTCGTGGTTGGCCAGCTGAGTATAATACTGAAGACTTCCCTTTACCGGCCAATTTTGAAGTGGAGCAGCAAGTTTCTGCAGTGACCACTTCTTGACAGTTTCAGAGAAACGGTGGTGCATTTCAAAAGTGAAAAGACGGCCATGACATTGTCGAAATGGGAAAATTGAGAGCAATGTTATTGTTAGCAAGAACATCACAAAAGAAGACATTTTTTCGTTTCTAAGAAAAACTCAGATCTTGAACTGTAATGGCCACTGAAATTATTGGGTTAGGTTTACAGAGGGAGAATCAAGAAAAGGAAAAAAGAGAGAGAAAAAGAGTAAATTTTGACAGTTGAAGAAAATCGCCCTACTCCATTATAGCTTCACTGACTCTTCTTTCCACAAGTAGTAATTGTTCCAATTTCCCTTAAATTCATTTTTTAAAATGCATTTGGCCTTTTATATCAATTCACGACATCATATGATAATTTAGCGGGTCAATTCCATTGTTTCACTTATTTTGTACTGGTGAATAATTTTCGTTCGCCGCCCTTTATATTTTTATATCATAATATATTTTTTTAATTTCATAGAATAGCACAAGTTATGTAAATAAAAATACTTAACCTATAAATTTTATTACATGAACATATATCAATGGATAAGTTAGAGTCCAGTTCTCGGATGTTATATTGTGCAAATGTATTTGGCAAAAATGATTAGTATAGTTGAAATCTTGAAAACTTTACTCTAATTTCCTACAAATCGAGTGTAATTGATTTTTAATTTATGATTTATAAGTTAAAATTTTAATTTATAATTTTTTATTTATTTTTGTTATTTTAACTTTAAATAAGTATTTATAAATATATTTAACTTTACTTAAATATTTTGAAATTACTTAAAAACTATTTTAACTCATAAGCACTTAAAATAAATTAATCCGCTATTAGCTCTTTGTTTGTGCGTTAATTAATGTTTGTAAATTTTATAATAAGATGTGAGATCGTACTTTAAAGTGTTTTAATAATGAAATAATACTATTGTATGTGCATGACAACGGACAAGACAAACTCCTTTTTTGTTTGTTTCTTTCTTTCCACGCAGAGCATAAAAATATCAAATATTCTT